AAGTCAATATATACAAAGAGGAGGCGTGAATCACCAACAACCAATGACCAGGTGTTCACCAAGAAGCCTTGGTTTGGACTCTTGGTCTGTTTGGGCTGCCTCTTTTGCTCAAAGGATAAGGCTGTAATCTAGTCTGAAAGAGAGCCTGAGAATGGACTCTATGATAAGTATCAGGGCCTCCACAGCAGGCAAAAAGGGATAACAAGCAGGAAAGTATCAGGGCCTCCACAGCAGGCAAAAAGGGATAACAACCAGGAATGGAAGCTCCTTCAAAAGGGGAAAATACATCACTGTGCTTTTCTTCCAGAGGCACCTCGCCTACAGTGCCAGCTGTGTCTGTGAGTAGGGTCTTGCGGGTGCTCTGCACACAGACCGGGTGCATAGACGCCACTTACCCAGGACCCACAAGGGAGCAACCCATTAGTGTAATGAGCCTGCAAGATTTCAGAGAAACCCCAAGGACTAGCTTTCTAAGCTAACCAATATAGTCTTCATTCACAAATATGAACAGACAACCTAGGATCGCTAAGAGTTTAAGGAAAACCAGGCATATGGAAGAGAAGGGCCAAGATTAACAAACAGAATAACTCCAAAAAAAAGAGACATAATTTAGGGGACAAAAAGAGCTTTTGGAAACTTCTAATCAATAGCCTTAGAAAGGGTTGAGTAAACACTGCAACTGTAAAGCAAACAAAAAAAGATGTTATGAAAAGAGAGGAAGAGACTGAACAGATTCTCAGAAATTTAAAACATGAGTGTGAAAAATAATTAGTGGGCAGGTTGAAAAATAAAATGGGTACAGACTAAAAGTAAACAATGTTTTTCTACTCTACTCTTAATACTTTCTTCTGATACCAAAAGTATGGGTTTTTCTCACACTGACAAATTCTCCACACCAGCTGGGAGTCCTACAATTCAGTCAGTTCTGACACTATTTCCTGGAATCAACATCAGATCCCACAGGTTAAGGGCTCAGTCCCACAAGATTGCCTCCACTTCAGATGCAATGACAAGTCCAGACCTCCTGTACTTCTGGCCAGCCGGCTATAAATCAGATTTAATAATTTTCTAGAATTGCTCACAGAACTCAGGAAAACAGTGTACTTACTAGATTACTGGTTTATTATAAAAGGATATAATTCAGGAACTGCCAGATGGCAGAGATGCATAGGACAAAGTATGAAGGGAGGGATCTCAGAGCTTTCATGCCCTTGCCTGGTGTGCCACCCTCCTAGCACCTCCATATGATAACCAATCCAGAAGCTCTCCAAACCCCTTTAGTTAGGATTTTTTATAGAGGCTTCATTAACTAGGCATGACTGATTAACTCACTGGCCATTAGTGTGTCCCCACCCACTCTCCTTTCCCAGGAGGTTGGAAGTGGGTCTGAAAGCTCCGACTCTCTAATCACTTGGTTGGCTCCCCTGGCAACCAGCCCCCCCATCCTTAGGGGCTTTACAAAAGTCACTTCATTGAGGTAAACTCAGGTGTGGTTGAAAGGGTCTTGTTATGAATAACAACAACAACAAAAACTCCTTTATCATTCCAGAGCTATTTCAGGAACTGGGGACAAAACCCAAATATTAATTTATTGTATTACATTTGGAGCTCTGTGCCAGGAATAAGGATGAAGATCAAATGTATATTTATTATTATATCACAATGTCACACAACTGAAGATCAAATTTGTTATTTTGGACATTGAGGAACTATCCCTGAACACTGAGTAATAAAGAGATGGGAAATAAAGAGAAAATCTTGGCAGTAGGGATCAAGTGGTCCAATACATGACTAATACAAGTTTTAGAGGGAGGAAACAGATTTAAAATAGTAGAACAGGGCTTCCCTGGTGGCGCAGTGGTTGAGAGTCCGCCTGCCGATGCAGGGGACACGGGTTCGTGCCCCGGTCCGGGAAGATCCCACGTGCCGAGGAGCGGCTGTGCCCGTGAGCCATGGCCACTGAGCCTGCGCGTCCGCAGCCTGTGCTCCGCAACGGGAGAGGCCACAACAGTGAGAGGCCCACGTACCGCAAAAAAAACAAAATCAAAAAAAAAATAAAAATAGTAGAACATTTTCATGGTCAGAAGAAAGACACAAGTCTTTTCAATGAATGGGCTCTCCTCGTGCAGTGTAAGATGAATTTTTAAAACTACTGACATCTAGTTACATCCTGGAGAAATTTCAGATTGTGATAAGGATCCTAAAACCCTCCAAAAGAAAAAAAGTCAAAGAAATGAGAATCTGACTCATCAGTGGAAGCTAGAAGTCAAGAGGCAAATATCTTCAACATTATGAAGGAAAATGATTTTGAATCTAGAATTCAAACAATCAGAAAATTTGAGGGCAAAGTAAAGACATTTTCCAACATGACACAACTCAGAAATTCTGTTTACAAACATGGACCTATTGTGTGAAAAAAAGTTATTCAAGGCAGTATTTCAGCACAGTGCAAAATGAATTGAAGAAAGGAGATGGCATGGCATTCAAGAAACATTGGCAGCTGAACAAGACCCAGAGGATGGAGGAGGAAGCCATTCAGAAAGTAAAAGAGCATGGATAATTTGCATTCAAAGTTTTAGTAACATAGGATTATATTTCCTTTATTATGTAGTCAAATATACTGTAGGTTCTTTGGGCATACTATTTACACAATCATAATGTTATGAATACTGATTATTCATTTTTAGTGTTCAGAAACATCCTTTAGATAAATTATGATTTGTTTTACAGAATAGGATGAAATTATTATGCATCTCAACATTGTAGAAGTATTTCATGAACTGAAACAATTAGGAGGGTGGGGGAAGGAATTAGGAGTATAGGAAGAAGCATGCTAATTTCCTTATGCTTCCTAAGTGTCAGTCTAGAGTTGATAAACCAAGTCAGAGAGGTTTTAGTGAATAATTTAAATTTAGAAGGACTAACTTTAAATGAAGGACTAAAAACAGTAACTGTCGTTAGTGACTGCTACTGGGAAGTGAAACTGATACTGTGTGATGCTGAGAGAAGCCTTTGTACTCAGTTAGTACAAGTTTCTCTTTTTTTGTTGTTTTTCGGGTACGCGGGCCTCTCACTGTTGTGTCCTCTCCCGTTGCGGAGCACAGGCTCCGGACGCGCAGACTCAGCACGTGCAGGCTCAGCGGCCATGGCTCATGGGCCCAGCCGCTCCAGGGCAATGGGGGATCTTCCCGGACCGGGGCACGAACCCGTGTCCCCTGCATCAGCAGGCGGACTCTCAACCACTGTGCCACCAGGGAAGGGAAGCCCTGTCTTTTTTTAACTGTATGTGTGTCTTACTTCTATTCTCTCTAGTGCTTTTAACATTTCTCTCTTCATCTTTGATGTTATACACTTACACCAGCTCATACTAATGAATATATTCATTTTTCTTCCTCTTGCTTGAAGTACTGTGTGTTTTTTTAAATCCTGAGAACTACCATCTTTCTTTAGTTCCCAGCAATTCTTTGCCATTATGTCCTTTTGGTCTCTCCCTAGTCTCATAATTTTCTCATATTAGAATAACTATTAGGGTATGTTTAACCTTTTTCTCATTTTTCTTTCCCATGTCTCTTAACCTCTTTATATTTTTCTTTCTTTCTTTGTGATATAACTTGAGTGATTTCCACTGATCTATCTTCCAGTTTCATTACTCTCCCTTCAGCTGAGTTTTTTATATGACTATATATTTTATTTTTAGAATTCTTTTTTTGGCTGTTTCTCAAACTAACGTGATTGTTTTACATCTATTGATTTTTTTTTTTACCATGTTCTTAATCTGTGGATGTTATTTCTTATTTTGAATCTTTTATTACTTTTTATTATGTTAATTTTAAAGTCCATTTTAAGTTACTTTGCAGTTGGTAGTCACTTGGGTATGAATCTTATTATTTCTTGTGCCTGCTGACACTCCTAATGAGTTTCCATGTGTGATTTGTAACTTTTGTGATTTGGGGTGTGAACTCATGCTGAGCGTGAGTTGTCTTTCACAGATGTGCTGCTGCAGCACTGGATTGTGGAGGCCTTCTCATGTGGCTCTTTCATATTGGTCAGGGTATTTGTGGATTCCATGAATTCTGGAGCAATTTTTACGTTAGTCTCTCTACTCAGGATTTCCTTACCAAATGGGTAGTGCATGTTCCAGAACCACACATTCCAAGAGTAATAGTGTTTCTCCCAATATAACGATTCAACAAGAATTTCAGTAGTAAAAATTTCAGAACATTAACATTAATGGATTCATAACATCTTTTAACACAGTGCCAGTCCACCCCTTTTCACTGTACAGTTGAGGAAAATGAGGTCAAAAAGTTAAATAACTTGTGCTGAAATCCAATGAATTAAAGGCAGAGCAGATCCTAAAAGTTGGACCCTTTTCTTGTTAAAGTGCATTTCAACTTTATATAGATGGTGACTGAGGTACTTGCTTTTGTTACTATTCTTAACTTTGGCTTCATGATCCAAGTGCCTGGAAAGTGGCTCCCTGAGGCTGATCCTACTCTGTGTTGTATGTTATCAAACATTTTGGCAGTGTTAATTCTTTCATGCCCAATTAACAAATTAAAGCAGTAATTTTCTGTGTTACTGCTGGTAGAGACACTGGTAGATTCTGCCTTGACAGATCTTCCTTTATCAACAGTTTACTATTGTCGCCCTTTTAAGTCATGCAATCTGCTTACAAATAGCTAAAGCTTCTTAAAGACTGCTGCCATGTCTTAAGATTTTTTTTTCTTCCTACAGTGACTAGCAAAGCACCTGCCACACATAGGCATTCTATAAATACCTGCTGATTTGGCAGTTTATTAAGAATTTTCCTTTTTCTCTTCCATTTTCTTTTTTTTGTTTTGTATTGGGTAATGGAACCTTTGGGGACATGTTCATGTGAAGTTTTCAGGCGTTTACTTCCTTTCCATGTTTTTACAGAGAACATACACAAATAGGTGACTAGTGTTTATTTATCTAATTTAAAGTAAATTATAATGATTTATTTTGTGTTCTGTGTGCAGAACAGAGTGTTCTGAACATAACTCCAAGTAGAAGAGCCTCAGGCTGAAGGTACAGTATCTTGTTTACACTGAAGGAGCCTGTGTGTGGACAAGAAAGCGCTGACAGCTCAAATGGATCCCATGGAACTGAGCAATGTCAACATCGAACCTGATGATGAGAGCATCAGTGGAGAAAGTATTCAAGATAGCTACACCGGGATGGGAAATTTAGAAAAGGCAGCAATGAGCAGGTATGGGGTTAAAATAACCAGGTTCCATGGAAAAATAAGAGATATTTATGGACATGGAAAACAAGGTTTTTGTTGGGAAAAATTGGATTTATTACCTATTTGAGAGATAACAATGACTTTGATGTTAACACATCAGCTCTCTGATCCTGAAGTACACATTATTATATTATTATTGTATGTCAATCCTTTGTGTGATTAATTTAGAATTGCAGTTACAGTGTTCTTGTCCCTATTAATAATGTGGAATAATTTAAATGATATTAGCCTATCACTTCTGTTACCTTTTGGACTATTCTCTCAGACTCCTCTTCCTCTGACTGCCCTGTTGCTACATCTCCAGAGTTCTGCAGGGATTCTTCTCTGGCTAAAATTGTCCTATGAGCAAGCTTGTTCACAGCCATCAGGCTTCACCCACAGAACATATGCCATATCTTCCGCCTGTTCCACTTCTATCTCAACTCACAGATGTGTTTACTACACATCTCTACTGGATGACTCATGTGTCTGAATTGCCTCATTGATAAAGTCAAACTTGTAATGTCTAATATTGAACTACTGCCATTCCCTTCAAACTCTGCCCCTCCTCGAGCAAACCCATCTTGGTGAAAGTCATCACTATCATTCAGGAACTCAATCAAAGGATGTTTGGTGTCAACTTTGGCTCATCCTTTCCCCGAAACCGCAATGTTCGACTATATCTGGTTGGTTCTACCTCATTAATATTTCAAATCTACCCACTTGTCTGTACTTATTCTATTGCCATCTTACTATAGGCCCTCATCATCTGTCACCTGTCTACTAGAACAGCCCTGATTTGTCTTCCTGTCTTATACTTTGCTCTCTTCCAACTAAGCCCTTCACATCCCCTGCAAAAGTAATCTTTTACAATTGCAAATTGACTTATGTTCCATCCCTGGGTAAACCCTTTCAGTGGTTCCCCATTAGCTATAGGAGAAAGATTAGACTATACATGCATTGCTTGGCATATAAGGCCTTGCATGATCTGGCCCTCATCTAGCTCTCCTGTCCATCTCTTGCCCTGCTCCCTGTTTGTACCCTCTTTCCTAGACTTGTCGAGCCACTCAGAGCTCCTGTTCCTTCATTAACTCTGCTCTGTGTGCCTGGAATGCCCTTTTTTTTAGTATTACCCACTCACCTTACCCTTTTTCTCTATTGACAGCACTCATCCTTCAAGACTCAGCCCAATGTTAGTTCTCCCGTGAAGCCTTCCCCCAGTTAGAAGTGACCACCCCCTGCTTTGCATAACCTCTCCCTGTCCAGATGTTCACGATGCCACTACAACATGTTAGTGGTACTGCCTGGTACATAGTAGCTGCACAACTGTTATTTGATGAGTTTATTAATTCCTCACAAAATATTATATAACACAAATTATGCACGACTTAAGACATTCAGAAGTGAATATTTGACCAAATCTCAGTCTGAAGTAGAGAATCTTATCCTCAAACCAAGACGTCTTATTGCATTCACAACATCCAGGAAGGGTGTCGGGAGGAAGCACTGCTCTTCCTCCAAGAAGCCAGCGCAGTAAACGTTAGTGTTGTCGGACGAGAGAGGCTGTGGAGATGTAAACATGATGCTTTCTAGTTAGGTGACCCTTGAGGAAGCACAATGTGGTAGAACCAGGGCTTTGGAATCCGCAGAGGAGTCACCTGATCTTGGAGAAGATATTTATCTTCTTTGAGCTTCAGTGGAAAATGCAGAATGGCAAACCAACACCTACTCTGCTGAGGATTAAGTGAGTGCCTTTGAGATAGATGATACTCCGTAAACTTTTGTTTTTCCTCCTGCACTTCATCACCCTCAGGAAATCGATCAAATCTGAGGGCTCTTTTGTTTCTGAGAAGGATGCACACAGATATGAGCTCTATGGAGGTGGCAGAGCTGAAGGGGACATGGTCCTAAGAACAGTCCTACAGAGTCATTCCATTTGGTCCTCTGAAAGCCATCATGGAAAGAGCAAGAATGCTTTTGTTAGCTTCAGATAATGTGTTCTGGAACACTTACAGTGACCTAGCTTGTAACTCCTGACTCAAGTGGGTCATCATTTTGCAATTGTATGATCACTTTAAAGAGATGGGTTTTGTTTATGTTTGGATAGATCTCTTAAATGTAAATTTAGAGGGAAGTTCAACGTAATACATTTATTTGGAATCATTATACTTATGTTTTCAATATATGCTGGGTTTGGTATTAAATCATTGAAGACACTGGGGACATTTCTCATATGTTTTATACAATCTTGGCATGTTTTATGACTACAACTCATCTCATGCCAAAATAAGAACATGCAAATGTCTCAAAGGAGAAAGTCTATTTACTTTCACATTTAAAAATTTAAAAATTACTCATGGACTAAAGGATTCTAACTTATTGATTAAGGTCAAAATAGAACATCGGACATTCCAGAGTTTAAATCTAGATGACACTTTTGTTTTTATAGGTTAGGTCCATTTTGGGCTCCAGTTCATTTTATGGTCTCCATTTTCAACTATGAACATTGTGTACCAGTCTCCACATAGCAAGTATATTAACTACGGACATTAAAATAAAGCACAAAAGGGAGGGGGAGTGCAGAAGTGCAGAGGTGGAAGAAGGCAGCATCTGAGGGCATTATACTTCCTTCCAGAAATAGGAGGAAAATGACAGGATATGTTCCTAACTTGTACGCCATGAGGTTCAAGAAAATCCACTTCTTGAGTTTTAGAAAAGCACACAAAACTTTATGATTTTGTCTGCTCGTTCTATCTACACTTTATATTGTTCTCTATTCTCAAAAAGTAACCTTGTTATCCTTCTTTCTCATAAGGTATATTCAGAATTAGCTTCTATTATAAGAGATCATTTGTACAGATCTATAATAATTATTTTCCCCTTTTATATTTCTAAGGGTTATTTTAATAAAATACTCTCCAATCATTTTATTTTACTTTCTCATGAAAGAAATGCCCTAAAATTGCGATCTATCTAATTATAAAGCACTTTTAAGAACTAAGCATACATATTTGAGCATTTCCTGTAACAAAAAGAAAGCCTGTGTGATATTTTGCAGTGTCAAAATGCAATGGTGGGGCTTCGCTGGTGGCACAGTGGTTGAGAGTCCGCCTGCCGATGCAGGGAACACGGGTTGGTGCCCCGGTCCGGGAAGATCCCACATGCCGCGGAGCGGCTGGGCCCGTGAGCCATGGCCGCTGAGCCTGCGCGTCCGGAGCCTGTGCTCCGCAAATGGGAGAGGCCACAACAGTGAGAGGCCCGCGTAACGCAAGGAAAAAAAAAAACAAAAAACAAAAAACAAACACTTCTGCTTCAAAGAATATTGTCAAGAAAATAAAAAGATAAGCCAAAGAATGTGATATTTTCAAATTGTATATCTGATAAGGGACTTTTCACCAGAATATATAAAGAACACTTACAACTTAACAATAAAAAGGCAACCCAATTAAGAAATGTGACTGGTACTAGATCCATATCCTCAAAACCTCTGGCACAGAGCTCCAGGAGCCGACCAGTACTGTCAGGGGATGTGCAGCTTCTAGCCTGTACCAAGTAGACCGCAGTCATCATGTTCCATGGATAGTGACATCTTAAAGTCCTCCCAACTCATCTACTAATTCATTGGATATCTTTAATGTTTTTCTTAGTTTCATTCATTGTCTAACAATTCAAGTACATTTTCAGAGTAATTAAACTACACACACTCACACACAACCAAACACAGCACAGAGCTACCATCCAACTCCTTTCGAGCAAGGGATATGTGTATAAAAAGATGGAGCCCAAAAAGAGGAAAATACCAGCTACAGTGCCCTGCCCAGGGCTGCATGGCGCTGTGGGAGACCCTAGACCTGGGATCTGGTGCTTCTGGACACGCTACTGCACTCTTCTGAGCCATAGTCGCTGCATATTTAGAGCAGAGACATGAAAGTTTCTCTCACAGAGACATTTGAGCATCAAGTGAGATGGGATCAAATTGCCAAGGCACTTAATAAATATTTACTGAATTACTAAGATCCTCTGATCATGGTGTATTAGCAGTTGAGCAAACTCAGTCACTACTCTGTTCCTTTTCTTTGGGAGGGCTCGAAATGGCAACAAAATTAGCTCTAATTATTCTCTCTCTCTCTCTCTTTTTTTTTTTTTTTTGCATAGTCAATGTGTGAAGAAGAAATGTGGCTTAGAAAAGATCCCAACTAAAAAAATATTTTCTTCCTTCATAACTTTCTCCCTCCCTCCCAAAGTATATTCATAAATGGGGCTCAGTCATTGGTCTGGAAGGAACAGTAGTATGTGGAGAAGAGAAAAACAAGTCTTAAGTGTCTTGCTTTTCCTCTCCTAATTCAGTGACAGATCACCTGAAACATAAGTATAACTCAGAGGATTTACTAGATGTTTTTACTGTCTTCTCTTCCTTTGTGTGTGTGTGTGTGTGCAGTCAATTTACTAATGAAGATGCTGAAAGTCAGAAATTTCTGACAAATGGATTTTTGGGGAAAAAGAAGCTGGCAGATTACGGCGATGAACATGTAAGTGACTTTCTGCTTTCTGGCAGTAAACAGGACTTGAGGATGTCTGATCTACCTGGGTCTCTGTGCGAAAACAAAGTGACTGAAATTTTCCAAGCCTTGATCAGCACATTCTCTGTTTATTCAGGCCCTTACTGGAATAAGGGCTTGTTTTTCCTGTTCGCCATATGGCTGCATAAATCATTTATGAAATTTATTTGTTTTCTGGAGAAATCATTCTAACCCAAATGTAATCTGCAATCCTACATGCTTTCCCTTCTTTATATTACTCAACATGTATTTTTTATTTTTACTGAGACCCCTGCTTAAATCAAGTACTACATTCCACTGAAAATTACACACTTTTATTGAAGTTGAGTCATGACTTTCATTCACTGTGATTTTATCTTAATCTTCACTATTGGATGGTAGTCTCCTCCAGTAAAGATAATATAGGATAAGAATAATCCAAAAAAAGGTTCGTCCTTTGGCAAATATTTGCTTATCACGCATCCCTTTTTCTTCAAGCATCCTGGAACCACCTCCTTTGGAATGTCTTCATTCAATCTGAGTAATGCCATCATGGGCAGTGGAATCCTGGGCCTGTCCTATGCCATGGCCAACACAGGGATCATCCTTTTTATGTAAGTGAATGGACATATCTACACTTGGTTCAAAGCCCATGTATACCTGGTGCTCTTTCAATTAATCTGAAGTTTGATCTTTGTGAATAGGAATAATCTGAGAAAATATTAACATATTCTCTTCCTTTTAAATAAAACAACAACGAAAAGTGATCAGAGCAGTCTAATCATCATACTTGTTTAAAAAAATATTTTCTTCCTTCATAACTTTCTCCCTCCCTCCCAAAGTATATTCATAAATGGGGCTCAGTCATTGGTCTGGAAGGAACAGTAGTATGTGGAGAAGAGAAAAACAAGTCTTAAGTGTCTTGCTTTTCCTCTCCTAATTCAGTGACAGATCACCTGAAACATAAGTATAACTCAGAGGATTTACTAGATGTTTTTACTGTCTTCTCTTCCTTTGTGTGTGTGTGTGTGTGCAGTCAATTTACTAATGAAGATGCTGAAAGTCAGAAATTTCTGACAAATGGATTTTTGGGGAAAAAGAAGCTGGCAGATTACGGCGATGAACATGTAAGTGACTTTCTGCTTTCTGGCAGTAAACAGGACTTGAGGATGTCTGATCTACCTGGGTCTCTGTGCGAAAACAAAGTGACTGAAATTTTCCAAGCCTTGATCAGCACATTCTCTGTTTATTCAGGCCCTTACTGGAATAAGGGCTTGTTTTTCCTGTTCGCCATATGGCTGCATAAATCATTTATGAAATTTATTTGTTTTCTGGAGAAATCATTCTAACCCAAATGTAATCTGCAATCCTACATGCTTTCCCTTCTTTATATTACTCAACATGTATTTTTTATTTTTACTGAGACCCCTGCTTAAATCAAGTACTACATTCCACTGAAAATTACACACTTTTATTGAAGTTGAGTCATGACTTTCATTCACTGTGATTTTATCTTAATCTTCACTATTGGATGGTAGTCTCCTCCAGTAAAGATAATATAGGATAAGAATAATCCAAAAAAAGGTTCGTCCTTTGGCAAATATTTGCTTATCACGCATCCCTTTTTCTTCAAGCATCCTGGAACCACCTCCTTTGGAATGTCTTCATTCAATCTGAGTAATGCCATCATGGGCAGTGGAATCCTGGGCCTGTCCTATGCCATGGCCAACACAGGGATCATCCTTTTTATGTAAGTGAATGGACATATCTACACTTGGTTCAAAGCCCATGTATACCTGGTGCTCTTTCAATTAATCTGAAGTTTGATCTTTGTGAATAGGAATAATCTGAGAAAATATTAACATATTCTCTTCCTTTTAAATAAAACAACAACGAAAAGTGATCAGAGCAGTCTAATCATCATACTTGTTCAACCAGCCATCCCTAACCAAACGACAGAAAGTTTATGTGCCCAATCCCCCAAACTGCTGGAACAGCCCTACCAGTCCATAGAAGCCATTTTACAAAGTAATTGGTTATAAAATAATTTGGTGTTTAATAGTTAAAAAGATCTTTCCCGGCAGCAAATCTGACTTTATACACACTCTTAGGGAAAACATCCCTTCCCAAACCAGACCTACAGAGTCCTGCATGCCCTGGTCCCATCTCCTGTGCCCCTATATACAAGATATACTGGGCACCGTGACCTTCTCTCCATCCCATGAAGGTGACATTCCCTCTCACCACAGGTCCTTTGCATGTGATCTTGGAACCTTCTTTCCTTTCCTCTTCAGCTAGTTAACTCCTCATAACTCAGCTCAGCCTCACCTCAGTTATGCCTTCCCCAATCTCCGTGACTTGGACAAACCACCTTATTAGACACTCATCACAGTGTTAATATTTTAGTGCAGTCGTCTGATTCATTTGGTTAATGTCTCTCTCCCTTTCTAGACTATCATCTCCAAAGGGTTGAGTCCATGTCTGTTTTTACTCACTGCACGTCTGTATCCCCAAGACCTAGAAACAGTGCTTGGCGCGGAGATTTTTGCAGAGTGGCCAAAGTTTATACCTAAACCAATGCACTTTATCCAAACTTGGTCAAATGCTGCCTAGTGGTAGCAGCATCACATAGCCAACCTGGAGGATGGACACCACATTGTCTGTGACAGACAGCCACAGACATCTGTGCATTATGTACAGCCTGGTATTTTCAAAGACACAGTTGGTGGCAGTGAAATGCTTCACAAGAATAAAGTCTAGTGTTAGTCAGGCATCAGTATGAATGCAGATCACAACCCCTAATGCGGTGCTGGAGTCTTAAATAACTGTCTAAGAATGCAACATTTATATTATAAATATATGCTATTTGTGTTCCAAATATCACTTATGATTAGGTAATCACACAGCTATTTGAGGGCTAAGGATCGGACTGAACTATAAATATTTATATTGTGTCAGTGCTTTGATTGAACTGTTAGGTGTCGTATTTTTTAGCTGAATGGCTTTTGATATCAGCTTTACTTTTCTAAGCCATGCTTGAAATAAAGTAGTTTTTAAAATTTTTCTGACTCCTAATGGCTAGAGGTATATTCATATGCATATTTGTACCCTTTTATAATGTACACTATCTCTAAGACAAAAGACTGCCTTCTCCTCACTAATTACACATACCATTAAAATTAATTAGGGGGCTTCCCTGGTGGCGCAGTGGTTGAGAGTCCGCCTGCCAATGCAGGGGACACGGGTTCGTGCCCCGGTCCGGGAAGATCCCACATGCCGCAGAGCGGCTGGGCCCGTGAGCTATGGCTGCTGAGCCTGTGTGTCCGGAGCCTGTGCTCCGCAACGGGAGAGGCCACAACAGTAAGAGGCCCGTGTAACACAAAAAAAAAAAAAAAAAAAATTAATTAGGAAATTTTCGTAGATCACTGATGAATAGAAGTAAAGAAACACTCCCCCCAATCCTAGAGTTCATTTTCATGGCAGGAGAATATTCCACTTTTAAAACTGAAAGCCTCATTTCAGGCCTGTAAACATTTAGCAGATTAATTTGGCCAGAACAATTACATAGCTGGATATCATAGGTGTGTTTTGTGTATCCAAGTAGCCCAAACTGGATTCAGCAATCTCCCTTAATTCCCAACAAGTGACACAGGATTTCATCGGTGTTACTTTTAGTATTTTCTGCCAAAGCAGAAAATGTATTTAGAATACAGGGTACGCTCATTATTTTTCCGGGGAACAAAATTATATAATCTGAATTACATAATTCTTTAAAAGCAGGTCAATTCATAACATATATGGAAAAATGTATGAATAAGACATTGATTAGGCAGTTCTGGTGAACATGTTTTGTAAAAGAAAAAAAAAAACAGTACAATAGAGCTAGAATAGCTATAACATTTGTAACTCGTGGTCTAAATCTACATTTGTAACACTGACTTCCCAAGGAATTACCAAAGAATTAGATCAGTTGAGGGGAGACTGTTTGGTATGCTCTCATCATATTAAACAAAGGATAAGATTTTTTTTTTTTAATTTCAGGTAAAGTTTAGTATTGTGCCTTAATTTATTATATAGATGCTTCTATCTATACTCTTTATTTTTGCTGTCCAATTCTTGATTTTTGGAGAAGCATTGATCACTGTATACATAAAGAAATCATATATGCCTGTGGACATGTGGAGGGTCCTGAACCAGAAATGATTTTTCTGAATACAGCAAAGGTTTTCCTGCACCCTAGACTTACCTTTCTCTGTTTTCTCTATTATACAGGCAATTGCCAGACCCTCTGGTTCACACATCTGATCACTGTCATCTAATATGCAGGCTCAGTAGTAAAGTAGCTCAGAATTTGCTTTGACTTCTGTATTTCTAGATTTTAGATTAATGTTTAGTCAGGTCATTGAATAGCCCTTCCATTATAAATGTTCATGGGAATATCACGCAGATATGGTGTACATATACCCATATGCTGAGTAAGTATTTGCTAATTTTGCTATGCATTTAGCATCTAAGTTATAAACCAGATTCTACTACTGGCTAGAATGTAAGACTAAAAAAGGTGCTTTAGGAACTTCCAATAGTACATTTTGGCCCATAAAATAAAGCCAATTCCAGTTCTGGGACATTTAAGGGCATTGGTGGAGTTCTGAAAAGAATTCTTCAGCTTCCCCCAAATCCACATACTCTTGGCAAGTTAATGATTGAAAAGACCAGTGTAATAATGTATTGTAACATCTAATCTTATTACATCTTATTTTTTATAGAAACATTATTGTCTCCTCTCTATTCCCTTCACAGAATCATGCTGCTTGCCGTGGCAATCCTATCTCTCTATTCAGTTCATCTTTTATTAAAGACTGCAAAGGAAGGAGGTATGCCACTCCCTAGACCTAAGACATGCTATTTTGATTCTCCTTAAACGATATTTCAGCCTTTAGCTCTATACCTATAGGATGGTATTGGTCAATTTTACATTTCATTTTCTTCTAACCCCAATCACATGGTCTCTCCATGTTTTTAGTTATCTGGGCAAGTGAGGCAAGTGAAAGTCAACCTGCTCAGGTTCAAGCCAAATAGAGAAAAAGACTTTTGGTGGATGATAGAAATAACAGTTCTGACTTGCTGCCTGGAGCCAAGATGAATGAAGGCATCGCTTCTTGTTTGGAGAACATTTACCTTATTTTGTAATGGCTTTTGAGATTGCGTATTTGGGGTTTGTAATTTCTATATGGTGTTTGTTTACATGTTTGAGGCTCCAGTGGAGAATTACATAGAAATATTTTAGTCACTAAAACAGTTTTTTTTTTAAACAAGTTTCTTTTCATTTTTGATTATAGGATCTTTAATTTATGAAAAACTAGGTGAAAAGGCATTTGGATGGCCTGGGAAAATCGGAGCTTTTATTTCCATTACAATGCAGAACATTGGAGGTAAGAGGATATGGCTTTCAACAAACCATTTAAACTTTCTAAAAGATGTTCAAAAAATAAGAAAACTCAATGGCAATGAACAGGCCCTTTAAATACAGAAAAATAGCTGTTTTATCATTTTTAAATTTCAAAAGTAGAGTTTCCTAAATAGATTTGCTCTTTAATTGATCCTTAATCCCTCTTTAATTGAAAATAGCGATATCTAAGAAATGAAATACTATATAAAACCCTACCAAATAAATTCTAGAATTAAAATATAAAATAAAACCTTTCTTGATTTCAAATGGCTTTAATTATTACTTTTAAAAGTTAAAGCATTAGTGCTTAGATCTGTCATTGCCCAAACAGTTGATGTGTCGCATGTATGATTGAGTTTATTTCACAAAAGGGAAAATTTAGTATCTGAGGCACATAGCCAGATTTTGGGGTCCTTGAGACACAGCCTGCACAGAGCCAGCCCACTGTAGAGTATCCCTAGAAATTGTGCTAAGGCAAAACTCTGGCTAGGCATCAGAAGCATTATAAAGCACAGATTTCTTGGTCCTACCGATTCTTTTCATTCCTACTGAATGATCCCTTCCAGGGGAGAGCCGAGAAGTACATATTTTTAATAGTGTTCCAGGTGATATGTATGCCCACCAGCTTCACTGGTCCTATCGTGTCTTTGACCCTCAAAAGGCATCTTGACCCATATTTCAGATGTCCTACTGGCTAAGTCTCCTTGCACGACCTGGACTATATCACCATATAGTGGAACTTATTTCCTCACCTCCTACCCAGTCCCCAAACCTGTTATTCTATACTTCCATTCTTTCATCTCAGTGAACAGTACCAGCAGCATCCAGTTTCTTAAGCCAGCAATCTGGGGGTCAGCCTAAACTTTTCCCTCTCTCCCTAACCCTGACAATCCAATCAAATACCAGCTTTTATCCATTCTTTCTCTTATTTAGCCTTTGAATCTCTCCTCTCCTTCTAGTCTCACTATCACACTTCAGGTGATTACTATTTCTGCTCAGACTGTTGCAGTAGACATCTACCTGTTATTCCTGTATTTAGTTTCCCCTCTTCCATCTGTAATTCATCTTCCAAATTAACTTGGTCAAATTCAGATCTACTCTTGCTTCTCACATGCATAAATTTCTTCAGCATATGCCCTCCTGATTTTCAAGACAAAATTTAAATTCTTCAGTCTGACATATAAGGGTTTTCATCATCTTTCCTTTGCCTACCTTTCTGATACCTTTCTACAAACCCCAATCTCTCTCTCTCCTCTCTCTCTCTCTCTCTCTCTCTCTCTCTCTCTCTCTCTCTCTCTCTCTCTCTCTCTACCTATCTATCTATCCATCATCTGTTCCCTATGTGTCCTGTGTCATACTGTAACAAACTATATTTAGTTCCCCTACTTTTACAATCCTCCAGCCCTAACACATAAACATTCTCTGGCTCTCCCTCTCTGTTTGCTCCATGATCCATCGTTCTCTAGGCTATTAGGTACTAGCTCTTCTGGGCTCCCTTAGCCTTGTTTGTATATATCTGGTATGTCACTGTTTTTTAAAAGACATTTTAAAACCCATGAGTAGAGGATAGACTTTTGGCGCCTGATAACACCTGAATTTGAGCTTGTTTCTGTCACTATCTATGACCTTGGGAAAATCACTTTGCACCTCTGAGTCCAATTTTTCCACCTATGCAATTGAGAGTAATAGCTCATCCTCACAGTGTCATAATAATACAGGTTCAGTACATGCACCCTCCTCTCCAGTTCTCGGATTCAATATCCATGTGACTGGAGCTCTCCTGGTTGTTTTTAAATGGCACTTTTATAATTATAAGACAAATATATGCTAATTGTGAAAAACAAAAACATTACATAAATATATAAATTACAAAGAAATGTTTATGTAAATCATCCTTAGAAAAACCGACGCCCGGTTTTCCTCTATGACAAATTTAACAAATATATCGTTACTGTTAAAACAGGATCATCTTCTAATACCGATTTACCGCTTGCTTTTTTTATTTAACAGTATGCCTTGAATGTTTTTGCATATTACTCTTTTTAATGGCTTTTGAGCTTTCCATTGTATAAATACACCACAATTGGTTTACTGAATCCCTTAATGAACAGTTTTGGATCGTTCCCAGTTTTTTTTACTATTGTAAACAATGCTGCAGTAAATAAACTTACACAGAGATCTTGCAAGGAGGTCATTCTTCTTAATTAATAAAATCACTGGAATTATCTATCATTTCTAGAGTGCAGCAATTTCTTTAGTAACCTTTATCCAGCTATACCTGCTCCTGATAACGGATAGTTGGTAGGCAGATAAATAAAATCAGTCATATCTTAATGATTTGTATTTATGTCTTTCATATTTTTTGTATAGTAAGACTACAGTCCTGGGTAGAATTTGGCAGTAACACTGGAATTGTTTCATTCATTTTACTGGCATTGGGTCCCAAGCATATAAGTCCCCCATTCCCCACCAAATAAACTGCTTTACATTTGGTTCAAATTCTCAGCCTTATCAAGGTTTAAAATATCAAGCCTTTCATAGAATCTCTTCATAGGTGATCTTATATACTTGTTTGGACCACTGAACTAACTGGACATACACATGCTTAGCCCTGAGCCCAACAGGCTGAGTGGCAGCAGCATTGTCTATTGTTCCAGGTATAGCTACTATTATGCTTCTAAACAATGGAATAAACTATAACATCATCTCTCAGTCAAGCCCCTCACCCCACAGTGTGGCTTTAAGAGAGTGAGATGAAATTTCATACACCTTTCCTGAAAATCTCTCACTTTGGTTTCTCTATGTGATTAGTGGTTATTGTGGCCTAAAAGAAATCACTCGTATTTCTGTATTTAGCAACTCCACATTTAGAACGTTTAATTTTCTCAATCCCCTGAAAAATTAACACTGACCATTAGCAGAATAATGTTGACATTACCCAGACAGGTCTGGATCATTCTGAATTTTCGAAGACCAAACACATTAACAGTGGTGACATCACTGAGAGTCAGCAACTAATAGCTCTAAAATTGAATGGTACCTCGCTGAACCAGTTAATCAGAAATATCTCCTCTGTTTACCCTCTGTAAGATTTAGCTTTAGCCAAGGTCTTTGTAAAGATTAACCAAATCATGTTTACAGAAGACACATCAGGTATTGTAAAAATCATTTCATTGCACAATAGAGAAGACACACTGGCCTGAAATCAGGGATCTTATATTTTGGATGTGGTCTGTCATTTTCAAGCTGTGCGATCTTGGACATGTCAGTTAAGCTCTCAAATTTTTTATATCCTCAGCTGTGGAATGAAGATGATAAGATGCACCTTGCTCTTTCATGTGGATTTTCAGCTGATCACATGCAGAACTAAACAATGTGGGGAACTGTTATCACCGTTATTACTTTCGTTTGAGATTAAGGAAATATTTTTAAACTATGAATAGTTCAATCTGCAACTTAGATATCTGCTTTAAATGTCTGTTAGCAAAAATTCACCAGAAGGATGTTGCACACACTTAAACCTTGTAATGCGAAACTTGTCAGTTTTATTTTCAATTGAGTCTTTTGATCACGTGTGAAATAGCAAATTAGTATTATTCTTCACTGAGTGGTTGGACTTGGGAAAGGGATGTTGCATAAATCCCTACAATTGTAGGCAAAATTGTATGTTATGCATATGTATGCATAACTATTTTTCCAAGGAGAGGGTTTATAGATTTTATAGATCAGGTATTCAGAAGAGCACATGATCACACATACATCACTTATCTAGACGTTCAAGAAATTTTGCCACTTTGTATGATTTCTTATTTGGACAAAGGATATAGAAAAAACTTCATTGACAAAGGTTAGAGAAGCTATCCTCTCTTGTACTTTTTTTTTTTATCAATCCAGTATGACTCCAGGAAAAAAACTTTGAAACTGTAGCTTCACTGAAAACCTCAGAGCTGGATTTAACACAGAATCAGCATTGATACTGTTAGCAAAGGTTCACAGGCAAGAGCCAAAGGGCCGAATGTCTATTCATGAGAAGAACTTGGAAACAGTACAGAAAACATAGTGGGTGGCTTTTCTTTCGCTTTGGGAATTACTGAGAAGGAGGGGTGTACCAATGCCTGGACTTCTCACAACTTGCCTGTGACTTTGGTGCCGTGCACACCACTAAGCTCTCACGTCTTCCATTTTAGCCATGTCAAGCTACCTCTTCATTATTAAATACGAACTACCTGAAGTAATCAGAGCGTTCATGGGACTTGAAGAAAATACTGGGTATGTCTTCTGCTCTCTCTGTAACATCAAGAGACTCATTCTACTTGGTCTTTTCTGATCCTAATATTCTGGGCTCTCTTTTCTAGAGAATGGTATGTCAATGGCAACTACCTCGTCATATTTGTATCAGTTGGAATCATTCTCCCACTTTCTCTTCTTAAAAATTTAGGTAAAGTCATTTTCCATTTTTATTTTCATTTTGTATTCCAAGAGGTAAGCTGATTGAGGATGCCATATTCACCTTCCGGAATTTCTCTGCTAACCCCTAGGTTACCTTGGTTATACCAGTGGATTTTCTCTTACCTGCATGGTGTTTTTTGTCAGTGTGGTAAGTGATTTTTACATGACCCTTGTAACTTGGTAGGCGTGTGATGCTTTCAGTGCCTGAATTGGTGTCCTCATTTTTGTTCAAGCACATCATTAGCATGAAATAGTTCTTGCATCACAAGTAATTTCCTTGCATTCTAATTTGGAATGAGAAAAGAACAGTCATGAGTTTAAAAACAGTTGAGTTAGAATGTCAAGACCGTTGCTAATAGTATGTTCTAGGCACACTGAATGTATATTTGGACGAAAGGAGCACTTCAAGCAGAAATGTGACAACAACCCAGTATTTAGACAGGCGGAGGAAAAAGAAGTCAAGAGTCCCAGAAGATAAATGAGTAGGCTATAGAATTAGCCATATTTACATGAATCAGCCATTTTCTCTTATTCATTCTACCCATGAAGAGAAGGTGACCACAGTGGAATTAAAGAAAGAAATCCTTTCCCCACCCCACTCCCTCTCCTCTCCAAAAGGGGGAATTTCTGTAAATATCATGAATGCCGACATTTATATAGCATTTCCCCAAAGAGGCAAAGGAGGAGGGGGGAATTTCCTGATGACCCATATTTTCATTAGTTGGAAGAAATGAAAGAGGTGCAATGTAGCAAGAAAATGATCATCTTTCTCATGGAAGAGTATGCATGAAGTTTGGGATAGATTCACGCAAAATACTGTCTTGTTGACTCTAAGGGAGAGAGTTGCCAACCATAGTTCCAACTCCTTACATCAAACTGAGGCTAGAGGGAGTCTCCGTTGTCCATTAGTCTAAAAGGAATCCTCAGCAGAGTTCCCTCGCCTCTACCCTATAAACCACACACAGGGATTTTTGTTTCATTGTTTTCCTCAAAAGGCTGACTTGTTGTTGTGTTAATGACCGGGTCTAGGTGATTTACAAGAAATTCCAAATACCCTGCCCTCTGCCTGTTCTGGATCACAATGTTGGGAATCTGACATTCAACAGTACAGTTCCAATGCACGTGATGATGTTACCCAACAACTCTGAGAGTAGTGATGTGAACTTCATGATGGATTACACCCACCAGAATCCTGCAGAGCTAGATGAGAAACAGGCCAAGGGCTCTATTCATGGCAGTGGAGTAGAGTATGAAGCACACAGTGATGACAAGTGTCAGCCCAAATACTTTGTATTCAACTCCCGGGTAAGTGAGAGGTCTAGGCCTCTAAGAGCCTAGCAACGTGGCCTCTGAGTTTTTATCTCACAAACTGAGATGGCCTGGGGTAGCTCTCTGTGTTGGAATGCTAAACATGCGGTGTTGTCTTTGTTTTTCAGACGGCCTATGCAATTCCCATCCTAGCATTTGCTTTTGTATGCCACCCTGAGGTCCTTCCCATCTACAGTGAACTCAAAGAGTAAGGCAGCCATCATTTTAGCATTCTAATTTGCTTTGAAAATGTGCTCATATTTTCAAAGGTGCTTTACACAGAAGCATAGTTTACAGGTTTGTCTTCACAGGAGGTTTATGCTATAACCACTCATCAATAATGTGCTTTTACCACAAAGGTGTGAATCAGCCCCCTCACTGCTTCCTTTTCTCCTGTTCCTTCATCCTAAGGATCCAGGGGAGGGGTTCAGGACAGAGGAAGGATGAGCCAATGTCTGTAAGGATTTTGGCAAGCATGGGGAATTTGAATTTGAATATTGGTGGGAAGAAGTGAGGTCATCTGAACTGGAAATGACCCACACCCATGAAGACCAAAAATTATGATTAGGGTGGCCTGGCTAAGCCACTGATGTCACCTATGGTCAGTCTTTAACCCTTGCCTAGAAGACGTTCCACCACTGGGGTGTGCCCATATCTGGCCTTCATAGTCTAATCTGTATAATGGAAACACTGGTTAGACAATCTTCTTTCTTCCAGCTGATATTCGATGATTCCTTAATACTCTTTTCCCTTTGAGGTTGTTAACATGTCCTTGGGGATGAGTGGGTCTGAGTGGGTCTAAGCCCACTTCCTTTACCCTGAGGGGAGGTGGTCCTGTAATTCTCATCTTCTTTACCCAGACATCAATAACCTCAGTCTTTGTTCTCACTAAATAACAATAACTTGCCCCATATATTCCGATTTACCTCTTAAAAAACTTATAGAGCACTTTCAATTATTTTGATGTCTTTGATTTACTTGGAAAATCCCATGTGGCAGTTACTCTACACTTGATCTGAGCCGAAAGACAGAGAAGTGATAGCAGTTACCCCAGTGTCAGCAGCCAGGTGCCTCTAGAATGGTTTCCAGAAGCTGTCCAGGTAATGATATCAGGCTTCAGGTTGTCTGGACTCCTGGGAGTAGTGCTTTGAAGTTTCTAGCGGATTCTGGTCCTCAAATCTATCTCACTATGAAATATGAAGTCTTTCTACATTAGGAGCCAGTTTGACCTTTGTGCTAGTTACATTCTTAAATACTCAATAGACAAGCATACTTATCAACATAAAATAAACTGATCCTCATATAGGAAAATAGTCCTTCCTAAGACTAAAGAAGTAGCATTTAAGAAAAATGGAAACAAATCCTCCATAATTCCCTAAGGCAAATTTAAATAAGCTGTGTTTCTGCGCTAGAAATGTGGTTTTATAATGAGTAACACAGGCACACATTCTTTTATTATTTTTAAAATTTTAATTGTAAGTAGTGATATTTTCATCTCTTCAGAAAACCAAAGCTCAGTGTTCTTTTTCTTTTCAGTCGGTCCCGAAGGAAGATGCAAACAGTGTCAAATGTTTCCATCACGGGTATGCTCGTCATGTACCTGCTTGCTGCCCTCTTCGGTTACCTAACATTTTATGGTAGGTCACTCTGTCAAAGTCATTTTCTTTGTGCCAGTCCTAGTTGGACTGATCATTAATCCGTGTAGGTATAATTCTTTTAGTTACTCTCAATAAACAGCATGATCTGTAGATGGACATGCTCAATTAACATGCTATTCTAGTCTCATTTGACCTAAGAAAATGGAAACTGAACCAGGCTGCCTAACAGGTTATAATAATTTGTGAATTCACACATATTTTGTAAAAACCGTCCCTCTAATTTAATTATTTTCCTTAGGGGATAGAGGATATTTCTTTGGCTTGATTTTCTAAGCCATCTAAAGCTACATACATACTGTGAGAGTGAATCAGATTGCATGTTGTAAAGCTCTTTCAGTGGAATAACTAACTACCAAGCAAATGGCAGAAAAAGTACCAAGTCCTTGAGTTGGAACCTGCTTCTTGTTTACCAGTCAAGTCAAGTCAAGGCTTGGAGTCAAGTCAAGTTTACAAGTCAAGTCAAGGCTTGGAGCATTAGACAAATTTTCTGGGTTATCTCATTCTATTCTGTTATAGTGAATGGTTTCCTAAGAAAAAAGGGCATGACAGAATTCCTTTTGATCTGGGGACGTACTATCAAAAAGCAAAGTGACTATGGTCACGTTTGATTATGCCGAAAACATATCCTCTGTGGCATCTTAACAGGACACAAAAGGAGCAGGATTGTTCTTCTCTTCGATGAAGCATGGCCCTACAGACAAATTTCAGGGAATCAAACATTAACACAAATCAATGTTATCAACATAAATATGTTTTTAAAATAAGCCTCTCTAACATTTTGCATTTTTTTTCCCCTGCTGACTAGGTAAATTAAATTGATTGCAAGACAAATTGGGTAGGAAGAGACTGGAGGGGGCATCATTTGCTTGTTTTTTTATTTTATTTTATTTTTTTTTTACTAATATTTGGCTTTTAACCAAGCATTGATTTAGATTGGGCATTAACTCTTCGCTGGTTAATGAAAATTGGGTCAATGCCTTTGAAAGTATTTTTAACCCCCTTTGTCTGACTTTGAGGGGAGTAGTGGGAAAATCAGAGTACATCTGATTCTGTAAGCATTTCCTTGTCATTTATGCCTGGAATTCTGAAAGAAGTGTGTTTTCCAGGAGGGCAGCATCTTAATCTTATAGCGGTATTCATTGGGAGACCCTATAACAATCATACTAATTCATCTTTGTTACTTAATCAATGAGTCTCAACTCAGTGAGACAAACAAAAACTTGAAAAAGCCCAGAAGTATGTCTGTCAGTGTCATGATGGAGTCATAATGGTTGAGTTTGAAAAACTGTTAAAGATCATTTGTCCTAGGGTTTCCATACTGGGTTTGGAGAAGCTGCTTCGGGGCTCACTGGGCAGGTGAGGGTGGAAGGAGGTGGCAAGATGTGAGGGACAGGCTGATGAGGCTTGGCTCTTTCATCCCTTTCAACCAGAAGACCTCAGCCTGTCCTCTGTTTTGTGGTGCTTCTGTATAGCAGAGAAAGATTTATCACAATGCAAATGACCTAGAGAAGAGCCTTAGCAATTTTATATTACCTCCTGCAACTTTACAAGCTTCAGGGCCCCTTTGTTCATTTGAACAAAGGTCATATAGCTCATAAGCTAAGAAACAGGATAAAAAACCGAGGTGTTTGGATTCCCAGACCTGGGTTCTTTCTACTATACTGTGTTCCTTCTGTAAAACGTGGTCTTAGGTAAGCAGTGCCGATGTGACTACACCTAGTGGACTCATTCTCCTCTTCCTCTTTGCAGGAGAAGTTGAAGATGAATTGCTTCATGCTTACAGCAAAGTGTACACATTTGACACCCCTCTCCTCATGGTACGCCTGGCCGTCCTGGTGGCTGTAACACTAACTGTGCCCATAGTGCTGTTCCCTGTAAGTACATGGCTTTGGTGAAAGAATCCTGCTTGACACCACAGATTAGTACATACGTCCTGACTTGATGTTGATTTAATTATAATGCAATGCCCAGGAACATTATTTTTTTATATAGCATTTTGAACCCACTTAAAATTGACTATGTAATATGTAGACAGAGAAAGTATTTTCTTTATTTAAAAAATTTTTTTTAATTATTTTTGGCTGCACTGCCTGGCTTGCGGGCTTATAGTTCCCCAGCCAGGGAGCCAATCCATGCCCTTGGCAGTGAAAGCACAGAGTCCTAACCACTGGACTGCCAGGGAATACTTGCTAGAGCAAGTATTTTTAAATGTTAAGTGCTTTTTAAATGTAGGGGGAAAATCACAAAATTTATTTCTATGTATTTGTCTGTTTTACAGCTTTATTGAGGTTGAAATTAATTTTTTAACATCTTTATTAGAGTATAATTCCTTTACAATTGTGTGTCAGTTTCTGCTTTATAACAAAGTGAATCAGTTATACATATACATATGTTCCCATATCTCTTCCCTCTTGCATCTCCCTCCCTCCCACCCTCCCTATCCCACCCCTCTAGGTGGTCACAAAGCACCAAGCTGATCTCCCTGTGCTATGTGGCTGCTTCCCACTAGCTATCCATTTTAAGTTTGGTAGTGTATATATGTCCATGCCACTCTCTCACTTTGTCCCAGCTTACCCTTCCCCCTCCCAGTATCCTCAAGTCCATTCTCTAGTAGGTTTGCATCTTTATTCCCATCTTTCCCCTAGGTTCTTCATGACCACTTTTCTTTTTTCTTTTTTAGATTCCATATATATGAGTTAGCATACAGTATTTGTTTTTCTCTTTCTGACTTACTTCACTCTGTATGACAGTCTCTAGGTCCATCCACCTCACTACAAATAACTCTGTTTCGTTCCTTTTTATGTCTGAGTAATATTCCATTGTATATATGTGCCACATCTTCTTTATCCATTCATCTGTCGATGGACTCTTAGGTTGCTTCCATGTCCTGGCCATTGTAAATAGAGCTGCAATGAACATTGTGGTACATGACGCTTTTTGAATTATGGTTTTCTCAGGGTATATGCCGAGTAGTGGGATTGCTGGGACGTATGGTAGTTCTATTTTTAGTTTTTTAAGGACCCTCCATACTGTTCTCCATAGTGGCTGGATCAATTTACACTCCCACCAACAGTGCAAGAGGGTTCCCTTTTCTCCACACCCTCTCCAGCATTTATTGTTTCTAGATTTTTTGATGACGGCCATTCTGACTGGTGTGGGATGATATCTCATTGTAGTTTTGATTTGCATTTCTCTAATGATTAATGATGTTGAGCATTCTTTCATGTGTTTGTTGGCAATCTGTATATCTTCTTTGGAGAAATGTCTATTTAGGTTTTCTGCCCATTTTTGCATTGGGTTGTTTGTTTTTTTGATACTGAGCTGCATGAGTTTCTTGTATGTTTTGGAGATTAATCCTTTGTCAGTTGCTTCATTTGCAAAGATTTTCTCCCATTCTGAGGGCTGTCTTTTCGTCTTGTTTATGGTTTCCTTTGCTGTGCAAAATCACAGCAAGATCCTTTTTGACCCACCTCTTAGAGAAATGGAAATAAAAACAAAAATGGCACCTAATGAAACTGGAATTCATTTTTAAGCTCAAATTCAAAAAAGCAGATCTTGAGCTTCTCTCTTGTGGATTAATAGAAATGAGTAGGAATTCATATAACTTCGGAAATTTGAAAGCCGAAATCACATTCACTTTCAAATCATATTACATTTTCACCACAGTTCTGAAGGTATTTCATTTTCTCCCCTGATTTTATTGTGCTACCTAAACATCCAAAAGTCACCTTATTTGATCTGATTTCTTGAAGGCTAATGAGGAGATTCATGTTAAGTAAATTACACACTAGAACCAAATTTCTTGAAAAATAGTCATGTTATCCACCACATGTCTCTTCTTCTACTGCCCCCAAGACTGACACACACCCTCTTGCCAGACTCGTACTAAGATGGTCCCTACATGGCATTTGCCATTGACGTCAGTTGTTCTGGGATCACAGAGCAGGGCTGGTCATGGAGACTTGGGCTGCATGAGTTAAAATCACCACCTATGGGTAAACACAAGTCTGCACTTTCCTGCCAACACTTCTACTTTCATAAGTACTGAATTTACCATTCATTTTAGGGGGAAAAATCAGTAGCCAGCACTGTCCTGCACAGAATATTCCATACAGGGCCAAGCAGATGAGGTCTGCTCATATAATGACACTGCGGTCACTTTAAATGCAGCTTGCGTGCTGAATTATTTTTTGGCACATTCCTTTTTCATGAGTGCATGAAATCAGATCCTTATTACTATGGTGGCCAAGAGTTTACTTTTAAATAATGTCTTGCCTCTCATATATCTGAAAGTATTTCAAATGTTATGCACTCATCTTTAGCCTAAAATCAGCTCCATTGTGGGGACAAGGCAGAAGACAGCTGTAGACAGAAAGGGTACCATAGGGTAAAATTTCCAAGCAAACAGCATCACCAAGAAAAGAATATCTGGAACCCTTCTTTTTGTGTGTAAAGATATTACTGATTAAATTCTGGCATACAGCGGGCACTCATATCATTGTTGAATCAAAGCATTTTGTAAAAGAAATCTGTTATGTGCTTCTGTATTGCTTTATTCATAAACCCTAAATGCAGTGCTTTCAAGCCATGGTCTCAAGAGATGAATGGACTTGGCTGTCGTTACTCAGCTAGTTGTTAATAGTTGAACTAATGCATTGCTCACAGCATGACGCTGATGGCTGCGGTCATGATAACACGAAATGAAAGTCAACCTTTCATTTAGTGATGACCATTTCACTTTGACATTAACAATCCAGGTTGTCCACAGAAATTCTTCCCTTGTATAACAGATCAGGCAGTGGCATAAACCTGACCACCAGGAATGGCAACACATTTCCCATTAGTTGTATCTCCCATAGTAGTTTGGAAACATTTTCCATCCGATGCCCATTAAAACCAAAATTGACCATTAGAACCAAATTTCAGAAAACTAACTAACTGTTATCCTTCATTATGCATTTAAACTCAACATTAGCATTTATGAAATATTTTGCATGTAATTCTGCCTCACCCCCTACAACGTTACATTTAGATGGTCTGTTTGATTGTCCACATTTTCCCCTGGAGGTAAGCGGTGTGCACAGTGACTGGCACAAGATGAGCTCAACAAGGTTTGCTAAGGAAAATCATCTCCAAATGAATCTTGCCCTTTCTTGAGGTGTATAAACTGCCTTTTCTAGCAAAAGCATAGATTCATCCCCTCGCCAACATTTGCCATGAACTTCAGTTTGGGTGAGGATCTTAGCTATTTGAACCAAGCCTCCATGGCTTTGATGGATGACATAAAAGTGGGTCCAGTCTCCCTGTCCCAGTCAAGTGCCACAAGGCTACATTCAGACACTTCTCTCCCAAAGTGATAGAAGTTGGTTGTGATATATTTGTTTGTTTCTTACAGTTTAGAACCAAGATTCTCCATGTGTCCAATGCTGAGTCAAAGAGCATGGTTTTCCTGACAAGTTTCTTTGAATTAAGAAAACTCTTGACCAATAAGTTTATTGACTTTGCTTTGGTATCCCCCCATACAAATAATAAAACAAAAAAATAAAACCTAACATGTATTAGGTTTAATCTGGATTAAAATCTATCAGTTTTAGGAATTATTTTGTATTCTCCTATTTTCAACAAATATGTTGGTTCTTTTTCTTAAGAGCCCAAGAAGAGATGACAAGTGTTATTGATGGTGGTGGTTGCTTTTTCCTTTTTTCTCTCCATTTATTATCTTTCTTTTCTCCAGACAGGTTAGCTCTTTTCTTCTTAGAAAGTGCACAAAGTAAGTGCTTGAAGTGTTTATTGAACAATAAATAAATAAAGAGAATTAAGACTCTAGCTTTTTCACAAGCCACTCAACACTGTTTTGTCTTTCTTAGTAGTGGGAGGGGGTGATATGTAGTGGGATGTCTATTACTGGACTGCACCTCCTTCCCAAGGACGAATAATGCCATTTTCAGCTTGTGCTTCCCTTTATGCAGAAAATGCACACATTACCATGAAAAACAGAAACCTCAATAACCCTAATGGGTTTATCAAGGACACACAGACTCAAATTCTACCTACTGCACCTTAAAAAGAAAAAAAGGAGATCGTGTCTCAGGTTCTTTGGCTACTTCCTCTTCATTTTATTTTAGTAAAACCAGTCTTTTCACTTATGTTGCCTTCAGACTTCCTGTTTTGAAGTGAATATAGATAGAGGCCTAGAAATATGGCAGATGTTGCTATGAACTGGAGTAGAACGGTGATGCAGAGGTATTTCCTACACTCTTGTCCTACGCAATCCTACTGAAGTGTGGTTCACTTCTCAGCAACAGAATGGATTTTTTTTTGGAGTGCAGAACTAAGGCTCCCGATTTCTACTCAACCTCCACGTTTCTGACCTCACATTAAGTCCCCACTTTAGAACACAGCACCTCCTAACAGGCTCCTGTTCAGAACGCTGTCTCTGGAAATAACAGAGGTTTTCTCTAGAACTGCATGGAACTTTTCTAGAATTATTCATGGGGCTGTGGCTGGGGACTTCCCCACGTGCAGCATCTGACCCACATTTCCAGGTTCTTATCAGTTTGTGTCAGAGAGAAAAGGGCACTGAGATAAGTGGGGCAGAAGGCAAGGCTTTCTGGATAATAAGTCAGAGTCACCTCTATCTTGACACACAGGTAAACAGAGCTGCTGGGGACCTCGCGATCCCAGGCTCACTCCTCAAGGCAGCGTTTACACATGGAATGACTAGCAAGTTTCATTCTATTCTTTTCCACCAACTACCACCATCAGCAGCCTTCCATCTCCCTATTTACCCTGTTGCCCATTTTAGGAATGCATTGGCAACTCTAAATGCCTTCAGTTCTGTTTGGGATTTTGTTACTCCTTATTCATTCTGAAGAGCAAGATTTCACCACTTACTTCAACCATTATTCCTGTAAACTTTCTATACCATTACATCATTAGGCCAAATCTTAGTCTTTCTGGGAGACATGAAACCTTAGGAAACTGTATTTATTTACATTCAGAGGCCCTGTACAGATAGGTTTGCCTCTAACTCAGCTTATAGAATGAAAGGCATTATTTCAACACAGGGCTAAAAAAGCACATACATGTGACCCCTGCCTGAAAATAACCTGTATTCTACTTGTTTATGCTATAAGTTTATCACTTTCAGACAAATAGATCCTTAAGCACTATGTATGAACCATAGAAAGCTTATTTTAAGCTTATTAAGTTTGGACAATATTGAATAAGCACTAATTGTAGGACATAATGTAGAATTTCCAAGCTGCTGGGGAAAACAAAAATCAAACCATTTGTTTTCCTCAGTCTACTTTTCAGAGTGAGATTCATAATTTTCACTCATCCAAATTTAAAAATCCGTTACAAACAAACCGTTTCCAGAGACTGTCTGGCCTTGCCATTCTGGAAGTGAAATTGCCTTTTAAACCTAAGCAGATGGCTTTAATTTTTGGTGTACTGGTATGAAGAGAATGTCACATTAGACACTGCAAGCAATTCAGCTCAAAGTTTTTGTCATTCATATGTATGTTTCAAAATATATTTTACATTTTCTCTCTTCTAAGTGAATTCCCATCTCCACACCATTTAGAGACTTCAGAAGCAAAATTTTAAAGTGAAAATCAATCCTAGCATTTCTAAAAATGGGAAGTTCTAGCTTAATTCAAGTGCTCACTTATTGAAAAGCCAATAAACGAATTCCACTAAGTCCAAAAGTGTCCTCTAAAAGATTCCAGAGATAAGAATATTTCCAACTTTGTTAAGCTGTTCAAACATAAATGGCACTCCCTCCCTCTACCCACAAGGATCTTTTTATCCGGTTACATCAGGGTAACTTGAGCAGGTGCTACAACTGGAGCCTCTCTTGACCCTTCCCCTACTTATTTCAGCTGCTGAAACAGGGCTGAAATCTGTCAAGGATCTCAAAGGGAGGAAAAAGTTTTGCTCTGTTCAATATAAGTCAACATTTATTGAGTGCCTCCTGCATGCAAGACACTAAGGTAGAAATGAGGAATGTTAAGATTATTAGGTCTTGTTCTTTGCCTTTTGTGCATTTATAATCTATACTTGTGGGGAGGTGAAAGGAGTGAACACAAAATATATCATATTTTTTAAAATATCAGGCGGCAAAAATGGTAAATCAAATGTAAAATTAAGAAACACCAGGTTTGTAAAAATTCTGTTCACAGTCACATGCAAATAAATTCAGTGCTTGCCCTTCATACTTAATCCAGGCTGATGAGACATGATTAGAAATCAACAAGGGTTTTATTGTGTCTCTGAATTATATATCTTATCTGCTCTTTTATCTCTTTCTGACTGAGATTATTTTCAATAAAATAATTCTGAAAGCCAAGAAAGGGAGCACAAGATAGATCACCAAGGAAAATGACACTTTCGCAAAAATCAGCATCAAACTTGCACAACAATATGAATGTACTTAATACCACTGGACTGTACATTTAAAAATGACTAAGATGGGCTTCCCTGGTGGCGCAGTGGTTGAGAGTCCGCCTGCCGATGCAGGGGATACAAGTTCGTGCACCGGTCCGGGAAGAACCCACATGCCGCGGAGCGGCTGGGTCCGTGAGCCATGGCCGCTGAGCCTGCGTGTCCGGAGCCTGTGCTCCGCAGCGGGAGAGGCCACAGCAGTGAGAGGCCCGCGTACAGAAAAAAAGAAAAAACAAAAACGAAGCAGTGACAGAAAGGGGATAGAAATAAATTAGGAGTTTGGGATTAAAATATACACATTACTGTATATAAAATAAGTAACCAACAAGGACCTATTATATAGCACATGGAACCATACTCAGTATCTTGTAATAACCTACAATGGAAAAGAATCTGAAAGAGGAAATTATATATATATATATATATATATATATATATGTGTGTGCACATACATGTGACCCCTGCCTGAAAATAACCTGTATTCTACTTGTTTATGCTATAAGTTTATCACTTTCAGACAAATAGATCCTTAAGCACTATGTATGAACCATAGAAAGCTTATTTTAAGCTTATTAAGTTTGGACAATATTGAATAAGCACTAATTGTAGGACATAATGTAGAATTTCCAAGCTGCTGGGGAAAACAAAAATCAAACCATTTGTTTTCCTCAGTCTACTTTTCAGAGTGAGATTCATAATTTTCACTCATCCAAATTTAAAAATCCGTTACAAACAAACCGTTTCCAGAGACTGTCTGGCCTTGCCATTCTGGAAGTGAAATTGCCTTTTAAACCTAAGCAGATGGCTTTAATTTTTGGTGTACTGGTATGAAGAGAATGTCACATTAGACACTGCAAGCAATTCAGCTCAAAGTTTTTGTCATTCATATGTATGTTTCAAAATATATTTTACATTTTCTCTCTTCTAAGTGAATTCCCATCTCCACACCATTTAGAGACTTCAGAAGCAAAATTTTAAAGTGAAAATCAATCCTAGCATTTCTAAAAATGGGAAGTTCTAGCTTAATTCAAGTGCTCACTTATTGAAAAGCCAATAAACGAATTCCACTAAGTCCAAAAGTGTCCTCTAAAAGATTCCAGAGATAAGAATATTTCCAACTTTGTTAAGCTGTTCAAACATAAATGGCACTCCCTCCCTCTACCCACAAGGATCTTTTTATCCGGTTACATCAGGGTAACTTGAGCAGGTGCTACAACTGGAGCCTCTCTTGACCCTTCCCCTACTTATTTCAGCTGCTGAAACAGGGCTGAAATCTGTCAAGGATCTCAAAGGGAGGAAAAAGTTTTGCTCTGTTCAATATAAGTCAACATTTATTGAGTGCCTCCTGCATGCAAGACACTAAGGTAGAAATGAGGAATGTTAAGATTATTAGGTCTTGTTCTTTGCCTTTTGTGCATTTATAATCTATACTTGTGGGGAGGTGAAAGGAGTGAACACAAAATATATCATATTTTTTAAAATATCAGGCGGCAAAAATGGTAAATCAAATGTAAAATTAAGAAACACCAGGTTTGTAAAAATTCTGTTCACAGTCACATGCAAATAAATTCAGTGCTTGCCCTTCATACTTAATCCAGGCTGATGAGACATGATTAGAAATCAACAAGGGTTTTATTGTGTCTCTGAATTATATATCTTATCTGCTCTTTTATCTCTTTCTGACTGAGATTATTTTCAATAAAATAATTCTGAAAGCCAAGAAAGGGAGCACAAGATAGATCACCAAGGAAAATGACACTTTCGCAAAAATCAGCATCAAACTTGCACAACAATATGAATGTACTTAATACCACTGGACTGTACATTTAAAAATGACTAAGATGGGCTTCCCTGGTGGCGCAGTGGTTGAGAGTCCGCCTGCCGATGCAGGGGATACAAGTTCGTGCACCGGTCCGGGAAGAACCCACATGCCGCGGAGCGGCTGGGTCCGTGAGCCATGGCCGCTGAGCCTGCGTGTCCGGAGCCTGTGCTCCGCAGCGGGAGAGGCCACAGCAGTGAGAGGCCCGCGTACAGAAAAAAAGAAAAAACAAAAACGAAGCAGTGACAGAAAGGGGATAGAAATAAATTAGGAGTTTGGGATTAAAATATACACATTACTGTATATAAAATAAGTAACCAACAAGGACCTATTATATAGCACATGGAACCATACTCAGTATCTTGTAATAACCTACAATGGAAAAGAATCTGAAAGAGGAAATTATATATATATATATATATATATATATATGTGTGTGTGTGTGTGTGTGTGTGTGTGTGTGTGTATAACTGAATCACTTTGCTATGCTCTTGAAACTAACACATTATAAATTAACTATACTTCAATTAAAAACAAAAACAAAGCAGTGACCTTGCCTTTGCACTTTCTTGCTGTAGATTCGTACATCAGTGACCACATTGTTATTTCCCAAAAGACCCTTCAGCTGGATAAGACATTTCCTGATTGCAGCCATACTTATTGCACTTAATAATGTTTTGGTCATCCTGGTGCCAACTATAAAATACATCTTTGGATTCATAGGTAAGTTTCAGAAAGGTTTTTATCTAATCAACTCAAGCTGTCCATAAATGGAGGGAGCCAGTGATGGGAGATCAAGCATCCCGGTCCATCTCAGGCTCACAGAATTCCTAGTAGTCCAGTTGGTCACCGTCCCTCCCTCCCAGGAGACACTGGACGTTATTAATGGGATCAGAAAATGTTAGTGCTAAAACCTACTTTATAGGTCATCTAGTCTAGCTGCCTTTTCTGACAGACAAGGCAACTGAGCCCCATAGAAGTCAAGTCATATACCTTGGAGTGAACCCAGGATTTGGACCCAGGTCTTAACTCTGCATCAACAAGAGGAAGGAAGATAGATTTTTACCTACAGCATGCCCTCTTAGGTCTGTGAGTATCAGCTGAGCCTTAAAGGATGTCTTTGGAGGAAGAGGAGGTTGACTTTGTAAAGCATATTATTTCCCTTAACTGGGTGGCCTTGTAGTATATTTGATTTTCCATTCTGCTGATTTGAGGGTTTACTCACATTTTAAATACAATATAAAACCTTAAAAACTCAGGTGTACGCAACTTGAAAAGTTAGAAGTGGATCAGAAGGGTGTGTGATGAGTTCAGCCTTCTTAGTATGTGTTTATATTACTAATTTCCTATAAATTTGTAACATTCAGCCTTTTTGTTGTATATTATATGTGATGTATACTTACTAGCCAGCTATGATGTTAGGTGCATTTAAATTTTATTTATAAACATACCTTCTTTGAATAAGCATCCATGAGCTTATAGAGCTTTTCGTGCTTTGATTAGGGTCGCTTTAGATTCGGTTTCTTTCAAGTGTATGCCCTTGGGTCTCTGCCCTGCTGAGTAAGACTTTGACCTGTCCGGTGTCTCTCCTCAGGGGCTTCTTCTGCCACTATGCTGATTTTCATTCTTCCAGCAGTTTTTTATCTTAAACTTGTCAAGAAAGAACCTCTTAGATCACCCCAAAAGGTCGGGGTAAGTAAGGTTTGCAATCTCTCCCATTATAACTTGCTCTTTGACTACATAGAGTAAACCAGGATATGCATGCACACAGTTCCAAAAAATGAATTGCTGCACAAGAACCAAAAATCAAAGATGGGCTGGAACTCTCTGGTGGCGAGAAAGGGGGCATGGATTTCTGTCACTCAGATGATTCCAAGACTTCTTCTCTTCAAATATTAAATGTCTTGTGCTGAGTCCTTCCTACCTGTCAAATGCTAATGGAGTTTGCCCACAGGTTTCCATATATTCCAGTTTCCACCACCAAGCTATTGCTGCATTATCCACCGGAAATTATGCAGAAAGGAATTAGGCTCCCTAGCAGTGTGATGAAAAATTGAAACATTTTGGTCATATTCGTTAGGTTTGTAAGGCCAAAAAAAAAAAAAAAATGTTGCTTCTGTTTTCCCCTCCTCAGTATCTTGTTGTTCCCTGGTGTGCACTAAGAAACAGAGCCATTCGTTTTCCAGTTAATCTCTTACAGTATAATTTACAGTCTTATTAACCTGGGGAGTATATATTTCTTTCCCATGATAGTACTGCAAAAATATATACTAGAAATAATTGTTTTTCCAATATTAAATATTATCAATGACTGCTTGATAAAGGCTTATAGTAAGGCTTGAGTCTGACTGACTTACCCTGAATTTTGCCTGGGAATCATTCTCCTCTCTAGATGGTTCAGGGACTTTGGTATCAAAAGCTCCCCCCATCGTCTTGCCCCATAATTTCCACTCTGTGTAGAGTCCATTCTGCTTGGACTTCTACAGCAGTGAGACCTTGGCAAATTACTTGTCTTTTTATTTTCAGTTTGACCAGATATAAAAGCGAGTAAAATTATCTGCTAGATCCTTTCTAGTGAAATAAAAACTTTAGCTGCTCTTTCCTCATATGTAGAATTAGGAGATTGATCTGTGTGGTAATATATAAGGCTCCTTCTAGTGTTAAAATTATGAAATATTTGTATGTAATTATATGTACATGTATATATATATGTGTATATATGTAATTACATACACACATACACTTTGAAGTTTTTTTCAAGGAATATGAAACACACATTATAGGAGGCTTTTGTTTTTGTTTGCTTTAAAAAATTTAATCATATCATACATACTACTCTTTTATAACCTGACCCTTTTCACCTAAAAGATTGTGAGCACTCCCTAGGTCATTAAATCTTTTTCTATTGCTTGATTTGTAATGATTACAGGGTATTCCATCATTTTGATGTACCAAATCAATTAACCGTTTTTCTATTTTGAACATTTGGGTTAAATCTCACTACTACTGTATTCACCCTCTTTCCCCAGCTCAGGTTCTAAATTGATTGAACTGCTAGGCATGGACATCTAAGCTATAAGGTTAATACAATTCAATATGCAAATCAGATGGCTGCCTTAAGTAAGCAACTTATAAAAGCAAACTGTACTAAGGAAGTATAGTTTCTGTGTTCCCTGACAAGTTGTCTCTGACTTACAGGCTTTAATTTTCCTTGTGGTTGGAATCATCTTTATGATTGGAAGCATGGCACTCATTATAATTGACTGGATTTACAATCCCCCAAATTCCAAGCATCACTAACCCAAGGAAAAATACTGTATTTTCCTGTTGGAGATAGTTGCAAATTATGCTCCCAAAGACTTTTGAGTTATCTCGATTGGAATGTTATTCACAGGAAATAACAGGAAGATTCCAGAGATGTTTACCAGCAATACCACCAGGCACCTGCAGAAGAGGAAATCATCATTTTCGTCACAAATGGCTGTTTGTGTGTTTAAAATCTGTGGTGCACATTTCTACCCAGGTTTTACTAGAGCAGTGTGAGATGATGTATTTTGGCTTCTGCACAAGCAGAATAAGGGTAGCTGCATGATAATACCCTCTTCCCTCTCCTCCCACCTTCTCCCCCCCCACAAAAGTACCAAATTCCTGTATTCTCAGAACATCAAACAAAAATGCCTTGGTGGCAAAGCTATTACCATTTAATGCCTTCCCTCAATCTTGCACCAAATACTCTGGGTGTATTTAATAACAGAGGCAAAAGGCATGTTTTATGAACTGTCTCTGTACAGTACATGAGACAACAGGCTAGAACATCTTACGGTCAACACTAAAGGAATATTTTGCCCATCCTGTTTGTGACATTGAATTAGTGACTTCTTCATTCAGTAGATCTTTTGTAAATGTTAAAACATCTTAGGAAACATAGAGAGGGGCTCTACTTAAATTATAGAACAACAGCAAAACAATGCTTATAGCTAAATTGCGTGTTCTGGAAGCATTTATCAATGTTATTCCCAATCGTCTTGTCATAGTTTTGTCACTGAACAATGCCCTCCCTCTCGTCTTCCATTCTCATTCAGAATTTTTAGAAGACCACGATTCACGTGGAGCTACACTACCCAGTATTGTTTGATACATTTTTATTTGATAAACATTCAGTGCAGGAAACTGTGATTGCTATATGTTTATGTATATAATCTTATTCTGTAGTCATCAGAATTTTAATGTATGGTACATTTGATTTTTATTTTTTACATGTGTAGTTTTCTCTCTTCACAGTCAAACATTTATATTATTGGGGGTGAGAGTAGGGAATTAATTTGATGGGCTCAAAAATCCACGTGTACGTATCTGTTTATTGGGGATATTTTAAATTTGAAATCTGAGTTATATAGTTCAGTAATGCTCTTCTTCAATGTTTACAATATTATCGTAATCATCTAGAAGAAAGTAAGTTCCCTATTTGCAAATAATTATCAATACTACGGTTGTTCTTTTTTTTTTTTTTTTTTTTTTGGTACGCGGGCCTCTCACTGTTGTGGCCTCTCCCGTTGCGGAACACAGGCTCCGGAGGCACAGGTTTTTAATGTATAAATCTCTCTTTTTTCTTTATTTTGTGGTACGCGGGCCTCTCACTGTTGTGGCCTCTCCCGTTGCGGAGCACAGGCTCAACGGCCATGGCTCACAGGCCCAGCCGCTCCGCGGCATGTGGGATCTTCCCGGACCCGGGCACGAACCCGTGTCCCCTGCATTGGCAGGCGGACTCTCAACCCCTGCGCCACCAGGGAAGCCCTAAGGTTGTTCTTCTAATTTAGCAGGTCTAAAATAGGATTTCATTCGTTTTAGCTTGCACAGGTATTTGCTGACATTCATCTGCTATTTAATATAATGTTGAGCCATTTTCTATAAAAATAAAAATGCTAACACTACAAAGAGATGCAAATGATTATTCTTGCTCACTTCTACAACATAGTTTCATGAAATGGATTTAAAATTAAGTATTCATTGCCTAGAATTTCTGGAGTTTGCTCCTTTTTTTTTTTTCTCAATCAGTATCAAGCACATTTATTGTATATTTTAGTACAGCCAAGTATGAAATATAGGTATATATAAGTATGATAAACTTAAATCATATTTCAATAGTTTTTGCTGGAATGTGCCTTAAGTAAATATATATTTGTTTTCTGTATTATTTTCTAGAGTCATAATACTGTAAAATGGTGCACTTTGTTAAGGAAATTGAGCATTACTAGAAGCTATCATAACTTCTAACATACTATTATTGGAAAATATTTGCCAAATAGCATTTTTAAGATATATTTCTATTTTCATTCATCTAAAGAGTGTATCAAAATAGAAAGTGAAAAAAGGTACCTTCTGAGTGTTAAAAAAAATGTTTGGTCTGAATGTATTTAAATGTAAATAACAAAGATTGATCCAAAAAATTGAAAAACTGTAAAATCTGTATATATTTTGAATGCTTTACATTTGAAATGACTGACTTGAAAATATCAACATGTTTAATTATATAAATATTCAAGAGCAATACTACAGTGCCAAATAATAAAGCACCATTTTTTTCTCATGGCCTTTTTCAGGATCATAGATCTCATAGACTGCAGGGCAGACATACATATGGCATCTTGTACTGGTTAATTTAGCCCCATTTAAAAACAGATGAAAACTTTATTTTCTTATTTCATTTATAAGATGGTTCAATGTATTGGGAGGCTTTTTTATTACAGAAAGTGTATATTGGTATATAATAAATGAATTTTTCAAATGACTATGATGTAATTTTCTATTGTTGAAGGCTGTGAATTATTTATACATGAAGAAAACATTTTTAATCTAAATATTGTCTCTTTTATTTTGGTATATGTTCCATTTTTATCGTTACTCTTGACATATAACTAACATTTATAGCTTTCATAAACATAGTTGCCATCTTATTTTGGCAAAATACACAGCTGATTCTAAATCATTCTTATTTTATATCATCCTAGAATGAGTGTGGAAGAAATGACTCTTTATGGTGAATTAGGGAGACTTCATTTGGGATGGAAAAAGAGGGACTAGAAGAAAGATGAAAATAGTAAAATAAAGACATGGAAGATTTGGGAGAAGGGAAAGCAACATGGGAGTGATGAGGATTGGGTAGAAATGGACTAGTAGTGGGATTGACAGGTCATGTGCTAAGTTTATGCTTAACTTTCTAAGAAACTTCCAAGTAGGTCTCCAAGGTGGTTCCACCATTTTCATTTTCACCAGTAATACATACAAGTTCCAGTTGCTCCACATCCCTGCCGACATTTGACATTGTCTTTTGTACTTCAGAGCCTTTCAAGTAGGTGTGAAATGTTATCTCATTGTGATTTTCATTTCCATTTCCCTGATGATTAGTGTTGGACACTTTTCATGTATTTAATAGCCATTCATCTATCCTTTTGTAAAGGGTCTGTTCAAATCTCTTGCTTATTTTTAAAATTAAGTTGTTTGTCTTTTTATTGTGTATTTGTCAGAGTTCTTTATGTATTCTGAGTACATGTCCTCTGTCAGATTGAAAATATATTTTCCCAGTCTATGGCATGTTTACTCATTTTCCTAAAGGTGTTCTGCAATTCCTCTATTACTGGGATAAGATTAATTGGAATGGTATTGCCATAATTAATTTTTAGATTTTCAAATTTGGAGAGTGAGAGTCTTCTTTTCTTTCTTTCTCTCTTTTTTTTTATGTTGGTGTATTTTTGCCTTGTAGTTAGCTTTATTTAACGTATGCTAATTTAGTTCTTGTTTTATACAGCTCTTTGATTAAAAATAACTTTTTCTAAGTCACCTTAAATCTTCATTAGGAGGCCCAGAACTACCTAGATAAGCCCAGAACATCAAAAATCCTTTCTGGCTACTTGTAATCAACTTTATTAGTTCTCTCATCCTTTGTTACAGGCACATATAGAGGAAACGAGAAATTATTTCATTTGGTTCTTATTTACCAGCTTGGAAGTTCTGCCATTTTCTCTGCATTTTCCTTCATGTGCAGAAGCAGTCATATAACCTTTGCTTCTGTAGCATGCATCTTCATGACTGTCTTTTCCCAATAAAAAAATTTGTACTAATTATTACTGTTGAAGAAACTGATTTTTTAAAGAAGTTTAAAAAAAACTTTACACCACACACCAAAATGAAAAAATTCAATATGAAATCCAAAACATAACCAGGAGACATATTAGGAAAAACTATTTGATAGTTGCATGTGAAAGTAAAACACAGTGGAAGAAATCACAAAGGCAATGATGAATACACATAACTACACAACAGTAAAAAATAATTCTGTACATTAAAGAATAACAATTAAAAATAATAGCTACTACAAAATACAGACCAATATATCCTTAATGTATGAAGATAATACAAGTTAATAAGGGAAATACCAAGAATCTAATAGAAGAACGGGCAACAGTCATGAAATCACTGACAAGAAATGGATGGTGAATGAGTATTTACAAATAGTATGACCTCGCTATGAATCAAAGACCGGCAAGTAAAAACATAATTAAATAAAATTGTTTTGCCCGTCAGAGTACTAAGATAAAGAAAAAGTGATATTCTGTCCTGGTGAGTGTGGGGAGTGTATCACTCTCATTCTGGTGACAGAAATCTTTGTTTTGCTAATCTTATCTGGAAAGCATTCTGACCATACTTATAAAGATCCTCACAAATGTTTGTAGTAGTCAGAATGGTCCCCCAAAGGTATTCACACTCTAATCCCTGGCACCTGAAAATATGTAGGGAA